GGTTGGTTCCTGAAGTTATAGGCAAATATAGTTATTAGACTTATCCAAGTGGGAGTCTGTTGGATAAGGTGTCTAAGTCCATAACTTATTTGGTATATACTTGACCCGACCGGCATGGTCCATTTGGGTTGCATCTCATCCAAACTATTATGGATAATTTTATGAGAGTTATACACATATGTTTATTAATATATTATGAGTTATAATATATTAATATGAAGTTACGTTATTTAATTAGTTTTAGTCTTAAATTAATTATGAATTAATTTAGAGATTAAAAGGAATACTAATTAAATTATGGGCTATTTGTTTTATATAGTGTGGGCTAATACTCATTTGTTAATGGGCTAGGCTTATGTGGAAGTCCATGGATGATCCATGGAGCTTTTAACCCATGGATCCTTGGAAAAGGAAAAGACATGGGTTATTAGGGTTTCACCCTAACCATGCATACTATATAAGCATGCTTATGGAGCATGAAATGGAGCCTAAGAGAAAGCTAGTGATCTAGTGTGTGTGTGTGCATGTGTGTGGCCGATATATACAAGGTGTATATACTCTCTCAAAGTTTTCCAAGAGTTTGTGGTGTTTGTGATTCCATTTGAGGCATTCACACTATTGGTGCTTGGCTCTCAAACTCCTAAGAACCCAACACACCAAAAAAGGTATGTAATCTCTTCTAACTCTTTTATGTTGAAACGTTCCCCATGCCATGTTAGATAGGTTATAAACCTTGGAAAATTATTATTTTGCATATATTTAGACAAACATAGATCCAAGGTTTATTAGGGTTGCATGCACACTTAGGAAGTGTTAGATTGCTTAAAACCCAACAGTAATCAGCAACATCATTTACTTCATCCAAATGTTTGTAGGAATCTTCATGATCTTTCCCATAGAAAGGTATTTCCTTGAGTGAAGCTAGGATATGACCTTTTAGCTCGAAGGTGGCAGTTGCGGGAATTGCGGGTTGCACAAGTCCCGGGCCATGGTCGTCGCGCATCCTCTTCTTCCATTCTCCCATGGGGATTTCATCAATGTTAGCCATAGTGAACGCTAACTCTTCCTCCGATTTGGTTTCTTGCTCGTACGTTGCCTCCTCTTCTTCCTCGGTCTCGTATCCAATATCTTCTTGAATTGGCTCCTCAATTATCAAAGAAGCGCTAGAAGCTCCTGATTTACTGCTCTTCTTTTTCCCAAAAACAGTCTTCAAGTTGGACAATGGTGATTTCTTTGGTGTGCTTGAACTTTCCACGTCCTTCCCTTTGTTTCTTTTCAATGCGGATTCGGGGTCTTCAAACGGGGGTACCAGTGGTGTGTTTGCTCCTCTGGTCATGAAAGTCCTGAAATCAATCAAATAAAAAAACGTAAAAAGAACAAAAAGATTGTAAAAATTAAAAAAAAATTGCTGACTAAACTGCTACTCGCCGAGTAGGTGCGATTGCACGCGGCGAGTATCAGTGATATTTCAAAAAAAATTCTAAGTTTTAAACTAACTAAAACAGATACTAAAACCTAATTACCAGTTACTAAATTGCAATAAATGAACTTTATGCAAGTAAACTCACACAAAGGATCGAAAAAATTAGGAATTAGCTTAATTATTTAGAACCGTTCCCCGGCAACGGCGCCAAAAACTTGATGTGTGTAAATTCAACTAGTTTTATCCCTACTTTTTATTAATAATTTGAGCACACAAAGGCAGTGAACCTGTCTTTAAGTGGTATAGATTGATAAGTGAGGTATCGAACTCAGGGAACGGAAAATTAAACTAATAGCTAATTTTAACTAAAACAAATAATAAAAGTAAAGGGTTTTTCTCTAGTTTTGCAAGACTAGAAACTTAACAAACTAAATTAACTAATTAACTAAAGCAACAACTATTCACCAAATTTGATAAAGATGTTTCTATTTAGGTTCAACCAATTCACTCCTATGGTTATTTAAGTTAAGGTGGATTAATTGCTATTGGTTACCAATTATAATAGTTAGGTTCATATTCATTACTCCTAACCCTTAGACAATTAACTAATTTAAGCGTTGATCAAGTGTTTAAACTAATTAATTCCCTAGATTAATTATTTGGATTAAATAAGATTTGTAATGGTTAATTAAGTTATTAATTCAATTAACCTCTTGTTGATGGTTTCTCAAACAAGCTCACACATTAATCTTCCTATTTTCTTATTAATCTTAGTTTCATAATCATTACTTCTAAGCATATGGTTTAGCATTCACATAGACATATGAGGTTAACAATTAAGTGATGTTCATGCAACCTAATTGCCTTCCAATTAACAGAAAATAGTAGTGATTAATACATAAGGTTCTTTAACAAACTTAATTTAATAAATCACCAATAGACAATTAAGCAAAAATCAATAATTAAACCATAGGAGTTCTTTGGTATTCCCCAAACAGAAACAAAAACGAATTTAGCTCATAATTGCAGTAGAAACAAACATAAAAACAAAGTTTACTAAAGAAAACATGTTCAATTCCTAAGTCTAAGTGGTAGAATTAACCTAATTGCTTGAATTCTTCCAACTATTGAAGCCTAGGGTTCCTTAGCGCCTTCTGAATCTCTTAATCACAGTTAATCCTTCAAAAATCGCCAGGGGTCCCTTCCCATGAGATAATGATTTGTCTTTTATAGATATCCCAAAACAGGGTGTACTCGGCGAGTAGCAGAATCAACTCGCCGAGTAGATCCATACTTATCCGTCTTGAATCAGCAGTCGTATTTATCTTCTGGAATATCCTCGTGTACTCGCCGAGTAGGGTCGATCTACTCGCCGAGTATATCTTCTTTCAATCTTTAATCTTCAATTGCTTTCCTTTTCTCCTTTTTTTCTTCCAAGCATATCTTTTGGACTGAAAACACAATTCACAACATTTTAAGTACCTTTTGTCCACATTATTCACATAATTAATCAAAAATAACTAAGAATATATGCTAAATAATTAACTAATTATGCACATATCACTCTTCCTTCGTCCTTGAGATCAAAACTCACAACAATTACTCAAAAAGCCTTAGATCTTCACAAAACAGCTAGGGTTTGCTATGTGGAGCGTTTTTGAAGCATTAAGGGGGAAAGGAGGCTGCATAAGGTCGTTTAAATAGGGTGTAAACCCCTGGATTAGGGTTTTTGTCCAAACAGCGGCTACTCGTCGAGTTCGGGACCCGACTCGCCGAGTCTGCAACTCAAACCGTGCGCCTCATCTCGCTTCTACTCGGCGAGTCAGTCCTTCGACTCGTCGAGTCCAAGGCTAAAAATGCAAAGATAAATGAAGATTTAATAACAGAGTACGTACCAAGAAGTAGGTGCCACATCTCAATTATCCATTCACACTACTATTTCACTTCCGTGAACCAACACTTTCTCCTGGAGTTACATACCCTTCCCTTTCCTTATCCAAGGAAATCCACTCAACAACCCTTTCCGCACCTGCAAGTGACACTGAGCTAAACTTCACTCTACGTTATCCATGTAGAGCAACTTCTATTCTTGAACTTCCATAAACTCTGAATCTGTTCGCAAGGACTCTCGGGTCCATGCACTGCTTTCAACTAACATGATCAATACTTGGGGCCAGACCATATCAATTATCATCCCCTGGTGACACTTTTCCTCATTCTCCTAGTACCGATCCAATAACACATACAGAGCCATCTGGATGATTGGACCGCCTTACCAGGCCTTCAGCCTATCTGGACCACTCTCGGAACCTTCAGCATGTCTGGACCGCCCTCATGGCCTTCAGCCTGTCTGGACCGTTCCCCAAGCCTTCGGCCTGAATGGTACACCCACAGGCCTTTAGTCTGTCCGGACTGCTCAAACTGTCTTACATCACCCTGAACCATTCTTTCCGAGAATCTCTCCCGTACATACTGTCCTAGCCCTCTTGGGGTTCCGAACTCTAACTCCATTCTTTATACTCAAATCCTGGCCTAACCCTAGGCCCAACCTTATTTTGTATCCCGCACCACTCGCCTGCCACTTACTAATACCAACCCACACTCTTGGCTAACTGAAACACTGCTAAAACCCACACAGCTAATTGACCTCTCATGCTGTCGATTTTCCTGAGAATTTTTTAATTCTCCCCACTTAGAGCACTAACTACAAACCATTGGTGACTGAACTAGCATAATCAATCATTCCTACACAACATACTCCTCTTACCCATGAACTGATCCTGAAACAAGCAACTTCCACAAAATCACGTTCCGGCCACGCACATCTCGTACTCTAAGGGAGTTCAACCCTTAGCTGAGTACTCCTCAAATTGCAAAGGCTATATGCGACACTCAGACCAAAAAGCCTAATTCCCCACCAACAATTCCCATGGATGATAACCAACTAAGACTCCTAATACCAAAACACTCGATCATACAATAAACCCGACGAAAAGCAGAACAAATACCATACCATGAATCATGTGAACGAGACTAGCAGATATAAAATACTCCATAACAACCATAAGATAACAAGACATCAAGAAGGAAACATACCCACAGCTGTATCCGGCTCTTCCCTGACCTCCTATGTTATAACCTAAAAAGCACGTCCCTGAGCCCTCAAGGGCTCTGCTCCACCCTGAACTCCACCTATAATCCTCAAAGTGGCCGGTGCTGGAGCCTGCACCGGTCCGACAGTAAGCTGTGCGCAGTTGGCCCTCATGTGACCAACCTGATGGCACTGATAACAAATCCTCACCACCTGAACTAAAGCTGACTAATGGAAATCCCTCGCATAATGCCCCTCTCTCCCACTAGTGCGGCTGCTTTGATATCCCAACCTAGAATCAACGGTCTTGGACCGTTTCGGTGCCGGTTGCGACTGCACCGGGGCTTGCCTCTGCTCTCTCAACTGAAACTCAATCTCCAACTCACGCCACCGAGTGGCCTCCTGCAACTCTAACAAGGTATCACATCTCTAAGTGGACACAAACTGCCTGATGTCCCTCTTGAGCATACTCAGGTATTGGGACATCTAAGCCTGCTCCGAAGCAAACTCAGGGCAAAACATCGCCCTCACAGTAAACATCCTTGTGATCTCTGTCACCGACTCTGCATCCTACTTTAGCTCTAGGAACTCTTGATCCAACCCCTCTCTCTCTCTCTCTCTCTCAACCCGTGGAACATAACGAGTGTTGAACATCTCCCGAAACTGATCCCAAGAAACCGCAGTCGGCTGCGCATCCGAATATGATCCCGTGGTTAATCTCCACCAATCCTTCGCCCCGAGCCTCAACAGGTTCATAGCACACCTCACCCTCTGATCAGCAGGGCATGAACATGTTAAGAAAAATCCCTCCACATCCGACAACCATCGCATCGCAACGATCAGATGCTGAACTCCATCAAAAGTAGGGGTCTTCGTATTATCGAAGTCCCGATACTGGAAACCCCGACTGGCTCCTCCCTTTGCCACTGCCACAACCGTTGCGGCTGCCGCAGCCGCTGTCTCTGCGAGAGCCGCATAACTTTCATCAAAATACTCAACCATAACGGTCTTGATCAACCTAAACAGTTCCGTCAACTCAGCCCGGCACATAGCAGCAACCTTATCATGCAGGATCTCACGAATCCTGGCATCCATGGTCTTGGTCGTGGAGAGCAGAATTTTGAGAGCATTTCCTTCTCCTTGACTTGACGCAACCTCCATGGTCTTGGTCGTGGAGAGCAGAATTTTGAGAGCATTTCCTTCTTCCCTAGTCTTGGTTGCCGAAGAGGAAACTTCATTGACTTTATTAAGGCAGCTGTTGGGGAATCCTGGATGAAGACCAAATTCTTCATCATTAAGATCAAGCTCAATGTTTGTCGGGATATCATCACTGAACCCTGTGAAGTCAATTTCCTTCAAAAATTCTACATCACCATAGAGATAATCATCATCATCCTCATGGGAAGATTTAGTTTCATCCTCCTTATGATGATCATGTTCCTCCACCACTGTGGCTGTAGGAGAATCATGAATTTCCTCAAATTCTGGTTCATAGGTTGAATGCACAATGTCTTCAGACTCTGTAGGGATGGATTGATCTTCTGATTTCGACTGATCACTTTCTTCAAAAATTTCGAATTTGATCAAGGGGAACTTTCCTTCAAAGATGAATTTTCCACCTCTCTTCTGTTTCATTAGCCCGAAAGCACTTAGACCAACGGATTTAAGATCCAAAGTTTCGTTTTCTCTTCGCAGCTCAGAAAATTTATCTCTCTTATTCCCCTCAAGATTTAGAACCAGCTCATTCATTATAAACTTCGAGAAGTTGAACTTAATTCCTGCAGCTAAGGCTGTGATTGCTCCAGTGTTAGCCGAGGAGATTTCATTTGCACCGGATCTTGTGCCAGAAATACAACTCATAAACACATGAGCTAGATACTTCCAACAAGAAGGAATCAATTTCTTGATAGTAGGGGGAAAAGTTCCCTCATACCCCATATGGTCTAAAATATCCTGGATTTGATGAATATTAATTTCCATGGAGAATTATGATCTGTCATTGATCTGGAGTGATTCCCGAATGATATTCTCTGAAACTTGAACTTTCTTTCCTTCAATTGTAGCTTCAATGAATTTTCCATCCTTGTTGTCCTTCTTCACAACTGCACTTCTCCAGAAGTCTTTGATCAGGCTTTGGTAAATTGCAGGACAGGTTGTTAATGTATGGACCAGGAAACACTTCTTAAAACCATCAACAATGAACTTTAAATCATTGTGAATAGCAGGAGGATCTTCAAGGAAAATGGTTGAGTTGTGAACCTTGGCAAATTCCAGGTCTCCCATCTTAATCTGAAAAGAAACACAAGCAATCATTAGGGAAAAATGATTTTGATTATAACGGAGATTGTACAACCGCACACATGCAAGTGTGTAGCCGTAGCCGCACACGCTCAGCCATTCACAATTCAGTGTAGCCGCACATGGTTCAGCTGCACACGATGAGTGCGGCCGCACACACCGTGTGCGGTCGCAGACGAAACGTTTATTCCTTCGATTAATCAGCAAACAATGATCGATATTTCATGAAAAAATTGTTATGAGAGTCGCGTTCATGAGAATTACCAGAAATGTGTTTCGATTTCAAGAGATGTGATGGAATGTTTTTTTAGAGAGAGAGAGAGAGAGAGAGAGTTGTGTGCGGTTGAGAAAGAAAAAAATGGAAACAATGATGGTGAATATTACACCGCACACACCCTTTATATACTCAAAAAAAATTCATTTTCTCCCCCTCAGCCTTTTAATAAAAAAAACGATACCCATACTCACGCATTTTCCAAAAACATTAAAAATTAGAAAATACAAAAACAACAGAAAATTAGAAAATCCAAAAATATTAGAAAATTAAAAATTTAATATATATATATATATATATATATATATATATATATATATATATATATATATATATATCAAATGATAACGGGAAATCTGAGTCTGTGTAAAGTATCAAAACTGGATTGTCTAGGCTCTATATTCGATGCGCTGGTAGGTTGAGCAGGAAGATATACATGAGAATCCATCAGTCACATTAAGAGAACTCGTATCTAGAACTGTGGCTTTACTTTTCCTCGATGTACGGATTCTATCCTTAATTCCAGTATTGACGGAGCGACTGGGGAATTCTGATAAAGTAGGTATGTAGAAAATTATTTTCTTTCTTTCTTACTGTTAGCCATATGTTGCCTCCTTTACGTGATTGGAAGAGATCTGACCTGGACTGCAACATATGCAAATCTATTTCTCTGCATATTATATCTATGAAATTCTTCCTATCTGTTATCCATATGTTGTCTCCTTTGTGTGATTAACAATCCGACCCGGTACACAGCATATGCAACCTTCTACTTCTCAATCCCTCTAAAAACTATAATTAATAATAATCTGAATCTATCCTCTCTATGAATAATATTGTGCTCACCTAAAGTAAGGATTATCTTGGAAGTTCTTGATTATTGGGGTATATCCGGAAGCGGGAAGCATGTTCTAGTACATCTAAAATTGAACAATTCTAGATTGTCTGTAGATCTCGCTGCTCAATTTAGGTGGACAACAATATCCTTGGTTGTCGTCAGATGAATGGTCCTTAGGAAGTTTTATCTAGGAACATATGATCAATTTGTCTTGTCACTTATAGCATGTCCAAATTTTGTCACAATTTCCGTGCTTAAGTGGACCACAATACTGGCAATCGACCAGATTTATTCATGAAGGGGAAGGTACCAATAAACGGATTAATCCTATCTCACAACCTTGATCCCAAATAATTTTGTTTTTGTTAAATTTGGTCATAGTTTTCCTCTATGCACAAATTTAGGGGGAGAATTAAAAAAATATATTCAAAAATCAAATAAAAATTAAAAAAATTAAAAAAATAGAAAATTTAAAATTTTTAAAAATTAATGTTATTTATGTTTTTTTTTTCAGAAAATATCAAAAATCCAAAAATAATTTTTTTGTGCTAATATTTCTTTTAGTTTTGTTTTTCTTGAAAAATGATTTCAGGCGTAGATGAGACTCGTGGAGACTCTATTGAAGATTTTCTGAGCCAAGGCTTCATCCGTGATCATCGAAGAATTCTCATTCGAAGGAGCAAAAAATAAAGATTATTCTTTCGACATTCAATCCTTCAACCCCAGAGGCAAGGTGAAGACGACTTCAAGATTATGTGACGGATTGCATTGAAACCTCCTCAATCAGTCTCCTGTTATCTATAAACCTGCGGAAGTGATCCAGAAGATTCATTCTCGTTGTTCTCTCTAAAGATTCTCAAGCTAAAAGTGTTATCTTTCAAGAATCAGTACATCAAACCTCCTCACCCAATATGCGTTCAGAGTCATATCTTGAAGAAATTCCAAACTATTCAAGATGAAGTCATTTATTGAAGATTCATATGTTCATCCTGATGCTGTGAAGAAATCGAAGATAAACGCTGAAGCCAATCTCCAACTAAAGATTAACAAGAAAAGCCAGCTACTTTTTAGGGGGAGCTTGTTGGGTCAATTAGAAAAGAAAGCTATAAACCAAGGGGGAGATTGTTGGGTCAAAAATATGGTTTATACTTTGCTTTTCTAGGAAAATATATTTTTCTATAATGTAATATGTAATTTTGTGGCTATGTATGGTTGCATATGTGTGTGCGGCTGCACACCCTGTGTACGGTTGTACACGCGTGTGCAGCTGTACACTCGTGTACTACTGGGAATGCTATAAATAGAGGAGTGCATGTGGGAGTGTAAGGAGAGAGAAGAGAGAGAAAGTTAGAGAGAAAAAATGTGTGTGAAAGAGAATCTATTGTAAGGATCATAACTCATATCATCAATCATTAGATTCATCTTAATTCTTCTTCTCCTTCTCTTCTATTTTGATCTTACATCATCCAATTGATTAGGGATTTACATTTACAGCTATGGATTTGAATGAATGTTGTATTTTGATTTCATCATATATTTGTTATGTTGGGATGTAATCTTTATGAACAAACACGATGTTGTAAACCATATATGTTTTTATCTTGAATGTATGATGATGGTGGTGGTTATGTTTCAATTATATACACTTGTTATGATATTACAAAATGAAGTCACCCACCCCCGGACATTTCCGTCATCCCGGTTGTAGGTGTGACAGTGGATGTGTGAAGAAACCTTTTGTTGCGTTCTTTTTTATCTCGAAAAACTCAAATTTCATTGAAATGCAGTACAAAATCCACTAATAGTTCGACAGAGTAAGTGTAACCACACACAATACAGGCTACATAGCAAATCCAGATGTAAAATTGTATAAACAATTCAAAAGTAACTCAAACATTTTGATGAAATTTATGATGTTAGTGCTTCACTCTATATATGCACTGGATTGATGCATTTTTCACACTGCTTAAAAAAATTAAATTCACAGTAGACAATGACTAAGTGAACTTGTAGGTTAAGTTTCTTAATTTCAAGAATATATAAGTATTAACTTCCCAATAATTAACATCATAAGTGCTTCAATACATAGTAATGGAACAATATCTGACCAAGGTTAATAACGACTATACCCAACAAAATTCTCCTGCTAATACATAATTTGCAAATAACGAATTTATAATAAGACTCATTAATACTCATAATCCTGCAACCCACATCAAAATTACACTAAACTATCATTGTCGGAAAAGAGATTATCATAGGTACAAAATTGTCCATGTGACATAACCCAAGAGAAAGTGATATTAGGACTGGATAACTTTATCCTAGGATTATCCATATAACGTCAATAAAACCACCTTTAAATCTTGCACCTTATTTTAATACCATATTTCATTTGATCGCCATTATACGATAAATATCATTTGGTTTCATACGTGATAGTTTCCTGTAGCTCCAATGTATAAGTTTACTTGTGCTGGAAGCTTTGATGATGCAGAGCCATATTTTGGGAATATCAAACAACTTAGTAAAGCTTGAGGTTTACCTAATAACAACATTTTGAAAAATTTTCTTAAGAAAGAGAGAAGGCAGACCCTGTTGCAAAGATCAAAGTTGTGTTATGCCAATCCAATATCAACAGTAAATTGAGATTCATTTCTAAGCATTTATAATATTATCCAAATAATTGATTCCTTGAAGTTAATTAAAATCAGCAATTGTTGCTAAAAAGGGTATAATGGGGATGAAATTCCAGCTACACAATAGACCCTAAAACAAAAATGAGGAATATATCGTCACCACATATACCCATTCAAAATTCCTTACAGTTGATGAAAAAAACTCAAGGTTGGCAGCTGAATATTATTATACTTTTGTTTAATAGAATTTAATTTCTTTTTTCCTTTTTTTTTCCATACAGGCCGATCTAACATAATACATCGAGAAGCGTGAATTTGTTTTTGATGCACTACTAAATGAAGAAGTTTCTAATGATGAGGTTAGTACATTATATAGATGTAACATCCAAAAAATTCCAACAAAATTAAACTTTTCAAAACAGCAAATTCATTAACAAAAGTGCTTACAAAAACATTGTTTCCCAAAACATGATTTAAAATCAAAGTCTCCCAAGATCCAATTGATGGGTTTTAGGTAAAACAAATAAACTAGAAAACAATTCCTAAGTTCACATGCAACCTACTTTGGATCTATGTTTTATCTATT